AACTGATGAGCAGAATGAGCCCATTTCTGTTGCTAAAGAAGAGTTGTTAAGCGAGTGTTGCCCCATTTTACTTCTCTTACCATAGTTGTTAAGTGAATCACTGCAGTTTTAAGTTAGCAACACGGTTGTTAAGTAAACCTGGTCTCCCCCCATTGACTTCGCTTGTCGGAAAGTTGCCAAAGGGGATCATGTGATCCCCGGGACACTGCAACCGTCAGAAATATGAGTCAGTTGCTAACAGTCTGAAATTTGATCATGTGACCATGGGGATGCTGCAACAGTTGTGTGAAAAATGGTTGTCATTTTTCCCCCAGTGCTGTTGTAACTTTGAACAGTCACTAAATCATCATCTTCATTTAATGACCCCATAATTCCTTGTGGGGTAGAGTCTGGGCAACTGAATGGAGCTATGGTAGCAGAGTCTTTGACTGGCCAGATGCCCTTCCTGTTGCCAATGCGGAGTTTTGTTCAGCAGATACATTCTCAGTGTGCCCAGAGAGAGAAATATGTGAAATTGACCTATGTGTAACCATTTTAGTTAGGCTTAGTATATATTATTTTTCTTACTTTTTCTGTGGCAGTCATGGGGGGAAGGGTTTCGGGCTTGCTACATTCCTAAGGGGGGGAGGAGTGGAGATAAAGTTGTTTAGGCTAGGTGATTCTTCTTCCCGTGGGAAACCGAGCTGTGTGTGCTTAGGCCCCTTGAGGTGGAGATTTATGACATCAAGCAGCGCTGAATTACTTCTCCTGGAGAATGTGACTTTTGGGGGTTGTTTCTCACTTTTAATATTGTGGGGTAATTCCGGGTTGTGTCAGATCCGGAATTACCATGGACTTTGCCAATTTGATGCTTTCCAAAATAAAAGAATGTGTATTGGAAGATGGACTTTGCTCTTTTCTTTTTAAATGGATTTCATCACTTGGAAACCTGACAAAATATCTGCCTCTCCCTAGGATCAAACTCACAGCCTCCCGATTGTGAGGTGAGGGCTCCATCTCTTGGCCACCGCACCATTCCTGTTGAACGGTCACTAAACAAGCTGTTGTAAGCCAAGGACTACCTTTATCAGCTGCTATAATGTCAGTCATACCATGCATGACCTCACTGCAGTATCATGATGTGATATGTGATTTGTCCTCTCCCACTGTAGACTAGGCTGGTGTATGACACTGCCTTTTGTACACCTCTCACGAAAGCTGCCACTCAAATACCCATCCATAATTCCATGCTTTTAATACAGATTAACCAGTTAGCTATACAAGAAGGTATACAAAAATGAAATTACAGAGAAAAAAAGGAGGAAAACGAAAATCCCAATCAAAATACAGAGAGCAAAAGCTGCATGTAACTCACTTGGATTTCTCTTAAAACATGCATAGACTGGCACCATTCAAACAAGAAACGCCGTGGAAAAACAGACTGTGGCTCTAGACGCTAAAGCCAAATTCTCGGCAACGAAGCCTGGCTGTTCGGAAGAGGATTTTTTTCCCAAAGGCGCCTGAAAGCCTGAGTTCAATTCAGGCTGCCAGTCTACCGGAGTCTCAGTTGGTCTCCTAAGACAGTGGCCCCCAACTTTTCCGGCTTGGGGACTTGGTGGGAGGGGAAAGGATGGTTTCATGTGAGCTGCAGGCGCACGCATGAGCGTGCGCAACTCCGTTTGCACAAACAGAACTGCACGCATGTGCTCGCTTGCCCTCTGGTTGGGTAGCCCGGTTTCCAAAGATGTTGCAGCCCCGGGAATGGGCCGCGGCCCCGGAGTTGGGGGACTCCTAAATCGATTCACACCTCTCTTCTCCAATTCACAGGGCCTCACCTGAGCGGATTGCTACAATGGGGAGAAAATGCTTAAACACAGGATTACTACACTACTTTTCCCATTAAACCCACTTTTCTACACATATATCCAAAGTTCATCAATAACATAGGGCTGGGCCCGAGACAGGATCAACAGTTTGTTTTGAGCGCCGGGCCCGGCTGTCGTGTTACAGAAGTTCTGCCAAACTCAGCCACAGTCCAGCAGTAAGAAACTCTTAAGTACTTCAAGGGCTGTTTGGTTTGGAGTGAAGCAAAATCTGGACAGGACAAGCTTGACGCACATCGCTCCTTCTCTCTGCGTGACATATCTCACCAGCTCCAGCCTGCAACGTCTTCTTTCCTTGCCACCGATGTCCTCAGGTGATGCCTCCCAACGCCCACCCTGCTTTCTTCCCCACCTTCCCAGGCCATCATCACCCTCCCCATCCAACCACTTTCGTCTGGAGCAAGTCTATTCAGGAGGGACAAAATGGCGCCATTTTGTGTCAGCCATTTTGTGCAGTGGTGGAATACAGTTCAGAGTCACAGGACAGAGAGGCTCTTTCATGAAGAACAAAGTGACAACACGTGGTGCTCTCTGAGCTTGTTTTCTTGCAGATGTTTCATTACCCAAACTAGGTAACATCATCAGTGCTCCCCCGAAAATGACCCACTTTGACAAGAAGCCTTATCACATTTTGGAGCGCATGCGATCAAATTAAGACCCCACCCACCCCGGGGGGCATGGGGTGGGGCGAGGCACGCAGGTAGAAAAACAAGCTAGGGTGGGGATGGGGAGGTGGAGCTGCCCTAATTACCAGGCCTCGCACGCCCTGACACCTGCCTCGCCTTCTTTTGTGGCCGCTGCTTCTGCAGCCGCTTGCTGCCACTTGCACACATCGCCCCGGCCTCCGGAGCAACATTATCGGCTGCAGAAGGCTTTCCGGAAGGCATCTGAAGGCAAAACAAGGCCAGGGCGATGCGTGAGACTGACGGCAAGCGGCTGCAGAAGCGGGCCAGCAATGGGTTCCTGCTTGGGGGGCTGTTGGTGCCACCGCCATGAGTCCATAATTAGAACCCTCCAAAAAGAAGGCCTAGCTGGTTTTTTTGGGGTGGGGGGGAGGGGATTTCAAAACAAACTATGACCCGGACTTTTTGGGGAAACACAGTAGTAAGGAGTGGGGTTTGCGGTCAGTTTATATTCCGGTGGCTTTCCCTGTCAGTGTTGGTGGCGGTGGTATTAGAGATTCCTGTATTTACAGAAATACCGGAAGTGACAAAACGGGCCCATTGTTCAGCCTGCAAAGACTACAGAGGTTTCCCTTGAGCCTCTGGGAGGCCGTAAAAGGCATCTAACAGGCAGAAAATCAGCTGGGAGGCACTCACATGCCCAGTGTAGGTAAGGGAGCAATGTGGGGGGGATCGTGTGCGCATGGGGCATGGGGGGCCCCACGCGCATTGCCTTCTGGTTGCTGGCATGTGAGCGCGCGCAAAATTTTCAACATGGGAGCCCAAAAAGATTAGCCACCACTGCTATAGGACATTGTCCCTTTGCTCTCCGTGAAGGAGCCTCCCCCACCCCCCGTGACCCTGGACTACATGCCATCACATGTGCACAGATTAACACCCCTCAGACAGCTATATATTTGGATGGCCTTCTCAAAAAGAGCTCTTCTTCCCATGTATATCTGTGCCCTGAACATTCTTCACATCCCTAAGATGGACCAAGAGTTAAAACCAGAGAAGCAGCGTTAAAGCATGGCCCAAACGGATCTCTGGAGGAAAATTGCCACAAGATGTTAGCCGTGGAAGCGACCCACAGGAAAAAAAGTTCTCTTTTGCAGTTTGTCAAATGATGCCACGGCCGTTGTTCAGGCAGACGGTTTGTCTCGCTGCCACCACCAAAAAGGCCCTGCTGCTTGGATCCACCCATGACCCTCCCCTAAGTCTCAAAGGGGTGCAAGTGCTCCTAAACTGTCTGTGAAGATTGACGTCCCCACACAGAAGGCAGCCTAGAATGATGGGTGGGAAACGCAGCTGGGAGAAACCCCAGAAAGGACAGTCCATTCGGCCTGCTCGAGTCATGGCTTCGGGGACGGTTATCCCCAAAATGTTTTCAAAGTCAGCCTGGAGGAAGAGGAGGTGAACGGGAAGTATTAGATCCAGAGGCGCTAAATCAGCAGTCCAGCAGTCACGTTTTGGAATAATTGCAATGCATTGTGGGGGGCCCTGTTGCAAAACATTAGTCCCTCTTCCAAGCCAGGTTGCAAGAGATGGATATTTGAGGCGCTTCTACAAAGACGAGGGGACCAACTTATTTTCCAAAGCACTAGAAGGCAAGACAAAAAACACTGGATGGCAACTAACGGTAATCAAGGAAGAAGGCCTTACTGGCAATTCTGGGATTAGACTATGCAAAAGAGCCCAGAGTTCAAATCTATCCTCCATCACAGAAACCTCCCCAGATGATTTTGAGTTATGACATCACACTAGTTTCTCAGGTACCTGCATGCTGATGCCGCAAACAAGTATGTCAGGGTTGAGGTTTACACTAGGACATGGCTACAGGTGTTTCCCCTCACTTCCTCCTCCCCTCTGTGGATTCCTAGGACAAAAGAACGATGTTTGGGACTGGAGACCAGGAGGGAAAGATCTGAGTTCAAATCCACCTTCCATTGTGGAAACCTTCTGGTTGATTCGGAGCTGGTTACCGTGTCGAATTTTGCTGGGGAGATAAGCTGAAGAGACTTCCCATCAGAGAAGCTCCAGGATCAAAGGTGGGATGTAGCCCTGATTTAAAAAAAAATACAGTAAACAGATTGGGAACACCCACAAAATTCCCCCCTCCCTCAGAAATCTTGAATGTTGTTGCATGAATCTTGCACACTGATTCCGATTGCTGGAAGCTGTGTCTTCTTGAAATTCTGTGTCTGGAAGACTTGGTGGTACTGAGCCATGGTGGTGCAGTGGTTAGAATGCAGTACTGCAAGCTACTTCTGCGGAATGCCGGCTGCCAGCAGTTCGATTCTCACCAGCTCAAGGTTGACTCAGTCTTTCCATCCTTCCGAGGTCAGTAAAACGAGGACCCAGATTGTTGGGGGAAATATGCTGAGTATGTAAGCCACTTAGAGAGAGCTGGAAAGCATCGTGAAGCGATACATTACTTTCGATGCAAAAACCAGAGAATCAAACATTTCAGCTAGTGGCAGCCAAGGATCAGAAGGTACTTGCGATCCCTGTCTTACAGAAATAGATCAGACAACTTTCATTAAGATCAATTATCCTTGGATCACAGAACTTTAGAAGCTCAATTTTGTAGGAACCCACACGGGATCTTGATGTACTAGGGGTGAGCCATCCTAAATTGCTAGCATATTCCTAGCAAACCTACGATAGGGGATCCTTGAATCGTCATCTCCAGCTGAAAGACCCCGGCAAAACTCCAGGCATTTCTAGAGATCCTCTCATGTCTCTGGTCCTCATCGAGAAGCGAGATCACTGCTCAGACAAACACTCTTTCCTTCTTGCTCCAAGAATTCAAATTGGGGTCCGACGACCGCTTAGATGTGGCGCGTGCTGAAGATTCAAATCTAGTTCCCAGTGCCTGAAAGCAGGGCTGGCAAAGAAACCTTCGGAAACACTGGACAATCACAATGGGCCAACACATCAAATAAAAATAAAAATAAGCATCTCTATAAATAAATTCATATCTAATGAAAAGAAATGGAGTCTGTGTTCTACACGAATCTCTTTCCACAGTGATTTCCACAGTTTTCTCTGAAATCCTTTCACGATAAGGGCTGCTTCATCCTTCCGCCGCTTAAAAATAAAAATAAAAAAGTAAATTTCATACTCCTAGCTTTTAAATCCGTCTTCACCGGCGTGGATTCTTTGATGTAAAGTAAGGGAATACGCCCAACAGAAGCTCTTTCCACATTCCAGGCATTTAAATGGCTTCTCTCCGGTGTGAATTCTTTGATGGCAGCTGAGGTATTTGCTGGTGCTAAAGCTCTTCCCGCACACCAGGCATTTGTAAGCCTTGTCGACAATATGGATCCGCTGATGGCACGTCAAGTACCTGTTAGTGCTGAAGTTCTTTCCGCACACCAGACATTTATACGGCTTCTCACCGGTGTGGATGCGCTGATGGGAGGTAAGGCTGGTGGCTCGGCTGAAGCTTTTCCCGCACTCTGTGCATTTAAAGGGTTTCTCTCCCGTGTGCGTTATCAGGTGCAAGGTGAGGGAGTTAGCCCAACAGAAGGTCTGCCCGCACTCCAGGCATTTGTAAGGTTTCTCTCCGGTGTGGATCCTCTGATGGGAAAGGATGTATTTGCTGGTTGTGAAGCTCTTCCCGCACTCCAGGCATTTGTACGGCTTCTCTCCCAGGTGGATACTCTGGTGGGAAATAAGGCTCGTGCGTCGCCGGAAGGTCTTCCCGCACTCCAGACATTTGAAAGGTTCTTCCCCTGTGTGGATCCTGCGGTGAGAATTCAGGCACTGGCGCGTGATGAAACTTTTCCCGCAGTCTGAACAGTGGAAGGGCTCCTCCCCGCGGTGAAGGCGCTGGTGGTAGCTGAGGCTGGTGCTGTGGACGAAGCGCTTCCCGCACTCAGTGCATTTGTATGGTTTCTCTCCTGTGTGGATCCTCTGGTGGGACATGAGGTATTGGCGGGTGCTGAAATTCTTTCCGCACTCCGTGCAGGAGTGCGGCTTCACGCCGGTGTGACTGCGCTGGTGGTAGGTCAGGCTAGTCCTGTGACTGAATCTCTTGCCACACTCGGAACACTTGTAGGGCTTCACGCCGGTGTGGTGCTGCCGGTGGTACGTGAGGCTGGTGTTGTGGATGAACCTCTTGCCACACTCTAAGCACTTATATGGCTTCTCCCCCGTGTGGATCCTCTGATGGGAGGAAAGGCTGGTGCTCCTGCTGAAACTTTTCCCACACACCAGGCACTTAAATGGCTTCTCTCCCGTGTGGACAATCTGGTGTAAGGTCAGGGAATTGGCCCAGCAGAAGGTCTCCCCGCACTCCAGACACTTAAAGGGCTTCTCCCCGGTGTGGATTCTCTGGTGACAGGAAAGGTATTGGCGGGTGCTGAAGCTCTTCCCGCATTTGGCGCACTTGAAGGGCTTCTCCCCAGTGTGAACGCGCTGATGGCAGCCCAGGTACTGCCGGGTGCTAAAGCTCTTCCCGCACTCCAGGCATTTGTGGGGCTTCTTGGTGGTGTGGCTCTCCCAGTGAGCGATCAGGCTCGACTGGCAGTTGAAGGCTTTGCCGCACAGAAGGCATTGGCTCCATTCAATCCCATCTTCTATTTTTTCGCGGACCGGAAGCTCGTAGAATTCGGTGTTGTAAGAACCCGGAGATTCATCCTTCACTTTGCCAGCTTCGGTGTCTGGTCTCTGCTTGTCCTCCTCTTCGCTTCCAATTTTTCCGAACAATATCTCATAGATTTCTCCACTTTCACTCTCCAGCCAGTCACTTCCTGACAGGAGAGAAAAACAAAAAGACTTTTGGTAAATTATAAAATGAAGCCTAACATTCTCCATTCTCTCTCTGAAATTAATGCAATGCAAAGCAATGCAATGTAATCTCTTTATCTAATCTAATCTATCGGTCAATCTAATTAATCTAATCTATATATAAAAGCCAAGTACCACTCACTCATCACGAAATTTCCAGAACCGTAAAACCTACAAACTTGAAATTTGGCATCTACTATATGTTCCTCTTGGCCTCTAGGTGCTCGCTAAGAAAGGATTTTTCGACATGACTATCAGGTCATTAGTATTTCTTATACAGTAATTAACACGCTCTGATTCTAAGGAGTTCTATTCTCCCTTCCCACCTGAAAAGAGCTCTGTTCCAGTTGCAGTTGCCTCACATTCTGTTACCTCAGTTCAAACTGGCAGATGCTCCACTTCTCCTTATAGTACTAAACATCAATACCTCACCAAAATGCCTATGCCTTTCACCTATAGAACTGCTTCCGGACTCAAGGTGGGGGGAGGTGCATAGCCCGATCACAAGTTTTGTCATGAAGCATGGGTATCCAGCTAGTCTAATATAATTCTATCTATATCTACCTACCTACCTATATCATCTATTTATTTATTCATTTAATATATATACCAACCCTTTTTCTTTTTAAGAGGAAACTTACCCAAAGAAGAGGCAATGCCACTGTTCTCTGCCATCACATCCCTGTGTAAAGCTCTTTGGTCTGGATCCAGCAGCGCCCATTCCTCCTCACTAAAAGTCACAGAGACTTCCTCAAGCATCACCTAAAAAGCAGCAAGCATCAGCTTCAGTGGTTGTGGGCTGATGCCGCTTCAGAACGGTTCACCTGTACCAGTAGTTTTGACCATTGGCTAGGCCTCCTGCCCCGGTGCTATCCCATCCTAAGTATCCGCCCACCTGCCCAAACAGCCAAGCTGATTTCCGTGCCTCGCCTGCTCTACTCGCTGTGGCTGCCTGAGAAGTTATGCTGGAAGCTGCATGCATGAAATCGCCGTGTCTGCGCTCACATTTTTGTTTCTGCACTAAGAGAACCAGTTAAATCATGTGAAGCCCACCTCTGGTCGGCTTCTTACATTTAAGGCAGCACATTCCTTAGCAAAGTCTAATGGGCGTCTTGAGGATCCAGCGGGACAGAACAAGAGGCTGCTTCATCCTCAGAAAGGGTTCTGTCATGCCCCTGTCGGAATCTGATTCCGGGGTGGGGGGAGGCCAAGCAGCTGACAGGGAATGGGAGTGTGGCTCAGTTGGCTGTGGAAGAAACTGGGGAAGGGCACAGTACGGCTGGGCAGAGCAGAGAGCAAGGGAGAGGGAATTCAGAGGAGGATCCAGGCCCACCCCTCTTCATCCTAGGGCACATAGGGAGGAAGGAGCAACATGAGTTGTGTTCTGTCTCGCCTTTCCTCTTTCCCAAAAGATGAAAGAGTACACACACACACAAACACAGGCAGGCAAGCTGGCTCGGACTTCACAGAGTTAATTCTTTGGAACTGATAATATTCTTGGCATTCCAACACGTCCTGTCTGCCAAGTCCGAACTGATAACAAATAAAGTTTTACTCACAGAAAATCACAAGGCAGTCCACAAAAATAACCATTCACGGAGAAAATCTGAAGTAAGGTTAAACTTTGTCCCATACAAAGTTTAAGGAGAAAACACACCCACTTTTATCCCGTGGGGTGTGGCTCAATGACTCAGCTCACCCTCTGACCCTCCCATGCCTCCTACGTTGCTGCTCACGTTTCTCCCTACGACGCTGCTTGGGGTCGAGCCAACACTCTTCCTCTTTACTCCCTGTCAGGGGCTGCTCCGACATGCCTTCCTCCTGATTAATCTCAGGCTGTTCCTCTCGGTTGTCTGATGGAACCTGAGGCATTACCAGGGAGGAAGGCATTGCCAAAGAGAAAGGTCCTGGGGAGGAAAGCATTCCCAGTTCCTCCTTCTCATCTTCCAGGTCCTCTTCCTCTGACAGCATAGGCTCGGGAATCGGGGCCACAACAAGTTGTGTGGCTTACGGGGGAGGAAAGGGCCCTGATTCCCTTCATTAGCTGCAGTTGGGAACAGTGTTTAAAAAGGGAGTTTGCGCACAGCAACTTGTTGAAACAAATCGTGTATTATCTTGTTTTGTCGAGGCTTATCTGGGTTCCTGGCATCTTCCCTACTGTGTGTGTTTTGTTGGCCTTTGAAGTCTGCAATTCCTTTATCCTGCCCTGTCCAGTTAATTGCTGCAGCGTGGTTTGTGTTGGTTTTTATTTATAATTTATATATACTTAGTTTTCGGACTGAATTTCCTCTACTTAAAGACTGTTCTTGGGAGAGTTTTTTCTCCAGCCGAAGGTAACTGGACATTGGGGGCAAAGTTGGAGGTATTAAAGGGACTCTTCTTACTTATGTGACTGTGTTGCCTTTGTGCCACGCCCAAGGTCATCAAAGGTACTTTAGGGATACACAGGTAGTCCTCGACTTACAACTACAATCGAGGCCAAAATTTCTGGGGCTAAGCAAGACAGTGGTTAAGTGAACTTTACCCCATCTTGCTTGTCATAATAGTTAAATGAATCACTGCAGTTGTTACATTGGTAACATGGTTGTTAAGTGAATCTGGCTTCCCTGTGGACTTTGCTTGTCAGAAGGTTGCAAAAGGGGATCACGTGACATTGCGGGACACTGCGACCCCCGGGACACTGCGACCGTCATAAATATGAACCAGTTGCCAAGTGTCTGAATTTGGATCACATGGCATGGTCGTAAATGTGAAAAATGGTTGTAAGTCACTTTGTCAGGGCTGTCGTAATTTTGAATGGTTATAGCAGACATGGTATTTAGCAGGTTCTGACCAGTTCTGGAGAACCACTAGCAGAAATTTTGAGTAGTTCAGAGAACCGGCAAATACCGCCTCTGACTGGCCCCGCCCCCATCTATTCTCTGCCTCCCGAGTCTCAGCTGATAGGTTGCATCTTCTTTTGTTGCCCTGCACAGGAGAACGGAGCTGGAAAGCAGGTTAGTGGGGTGGGGAGGGAATGGGGATTTTGCAGTAACCTTCCCCTGCCACACCCACCAAGCCACACCCAGAGAACCGGCAGTACAAAAATTTGAATCTCACCACTGAAGTAGGCCTTATGACACGTTGCTTAGCAACCACCTGCTAACACTAAGCTGTCATTGCTTGAACAGCTCTTCATGTTCTGCTTTCAGTTTTACCTGCAAGATCATTTCTTACCTACTTCAGAGGTGGGTATTCAGCAGGTTCTGACCAGTTCTGGAGAACCGGTAGCGGAAATTTTAAGTAGTTTGGAGAACCAGCAAATACCACTTCTGACTGGCCCTGCCCCCCATCTATTCTCTACCTCTCGAGTCCCAGCTGATCATCTGGGTCTTCTTTTGTTGCCCTGCACAGGAGAATGGAGCTGGAAAGCAGGTTAGTGGGATGGGGAAGGAATGGGGATTTTGCAGTGACCTTCCCCCAGGAGTGGGGAGGGAATGGGGATTTTACAATATCCTTCTAGCCACACCTAGCAAGCTATGCCACATCCACCAAACTATGCCACGCCCACAGAACCGGTAGTAAAAATTTTTGAATCCCACCACTGGTTATAAGTCAAAGAACTACCCGTATCCAACAGCAGAAAAATTCTGTCGAATCCAAGGAGATGAATCCCAAATTATCTTTATGAGAGATTATTCCCTTACATGATCCAGCTGTGCAGGTGGGTTACATCCAGTGGCCAGCTGTGGTTTGTTCCCTGGGAGAGAGAGAGAAAAAAAAAGGCAAAGATGATTTGATTTCTGGGATCTGGAAGGCAAACTCGGGGTCAAGGTTCCGAATGACAAACTCAACCACGCGAGCACTGTTCAGACGATCCAATCTCTTAATGCAACACTCTCATTTATTGTTCAAAAGTTTCCAGTTGTATGAAAACCTGAAAGGTTGATTTGTATCTCATCATGTGATCATGAGGACGCTGCAGTGAAAAACAGTCGTCAGTCACTTTTTTCAGTGATGTAGCAACTTTGAACGGTCTCTAACAAACTGTTGTAAGTTGAGGACTATTTAAAGTTAAATGTCTATGGAGATTTTCAGTCATGGTTGTCCCAAAGGTGCTTTTTTTTTCAAGAGGCAACTGGACTTTCTGGTGTTTCTTTGAAGACGTTGCTCTTCTCATGCAAGAAGCTTCTTCAGCTCTGAAGAAAGAGCGCTGAAGAAGCTTTTTGAATGAGAAGCGAAAGGTCTTCAAAGAAACACCAGAAAGTCCAGTTGCCTTTTGAAAAAAGGATGACTATCTACAGTGTTTTTCAATCTTGGCAACGTGTAAGGGGTGGACTTCAACTCCCAGAGTTCCCCAGCCAGCATTCTGGAGTCATTATTCATCATTTCATGCTGGCTGGGGAATTCTGGGAGTTGAAGTCCACAAGTCTTAAGGTGGCCATGCTTGAAACACATGTATTTAAACCAGGGATCTTCAAACTTGGCAAATTTAAGACTTGTGGATTTCAACTCCCAGAATTCCTCCTCCAGTCATGTTAGCTCAGGAATTCTGGGAGTTGAAGTCCCCAAGTCTTAAACTTGCCAAGTTTGAAGACCATTGATCTAAACCAACTCAATCAAAGACATTTAGCTGGCATCGCGACGAGAAAGTATGCCGGTTTGGTGAGAACTTTTTTTTACTTTAAGATCTGAAAGGACACCCTAAGGGAAAGAAAGAATCTGTAAAAGTTTTTACAGAAGTGATTAAGCGGTGATTTTAAACAGGAGTGTCAAAGTAATGTGTTTTTTTTTCTCTCATTGCTGGATTTTTTATATACGATCTTGTATTTTGAAACTGGACTGGTTTTTTGTTCATATCTATTTATTTTATTTTTTTCTTCTCCTTTTTGACTTTGTAATATTTTAGCCTAGAGGGTCCCTTTAGTTAATTCATTTTTTAAAAATATCTTTTTTTTCCTTTTAATCAACTCTCATTGTATTCTGCTCGGAAAAGGAGGGGGGAAAGTGAGAGCAAAGAAACTTTGTAACACTGCCAACTAGAGGCTTGAAAATATTCTTTTCCCTGTGATCAGACAAAGCTGAGAAGGAAAGAACTGAGACTCTTTTTCAAGGACATTGCTATTTGATAAGATAGAGGGAAGAGCAGGAGAGAGTATTATTGCAGGTGCTCTTCTGGGTTTCCATCAACAGCTGGAGTCTGGTGTTGAAATGTAGGGGGGGGGGAAGGTGATAAGTTTTTGGAGAAGAGAGCTATAATAAGAACCTTGGATAATTAAATAAAGTGCAGTGTGCCCTTTTTATTTTTTCTAAGTTGTGCTATCCCTCCTCACCAGCTTTATTGCTTTTTTTTTTTTTATCCCCTTCTTTGTAATAACTGTTTGGGTTTTTGGCTTTGTTGGAGCTTGCCTTTGTTTTTCTCTCTCTCTCTCTTTTTTTTTGGGGGGGGGGGGAGGCCCCCCTTTTCGTTTGTTTTTTATTTTTTTTCCTTCCCTGGTATTTTTGTTTTTTCATCTACTTTTTTTGGTTTATTTTTATGCTTTTTTTCTATTGGAGACCTTTCAATTGGATTAAGGTGTTGAAGAACCTGAAGAATTTTTTCTTTTTCTTTATTCTCTTTTTTCCTTTTTTTAAAGCTCTTTTTCTTTATCTTATTTTTGATTGGATTAAGGTATACAAGAACTTGAAGAAATTTTGTCCTCTCTTTTTTTCTCTTCTTTTTCCTTTTTTTATTATTATTACTGGCCTTCTTTTTTTTTTTTTTTTACTATTTTTATTTTGAACTACAATTGGTTATTTCACAATTGGATTAAGGTTTAGAAGAACCTGAAGATTTTGAATTGCCTAAAATGAGTAGGAAATTTACAGCCCCTGGCTCCTCAACTTCTACTTCTTCCTCTCCACCATCTGGAGGACAATGTTCAATACAGACAATGTTAAAGCAAGAAAAAGAACAAGAAAAAGTGACTCTGCAGATGATTATGCAAGGAATTCAAAATATCCAAGCAAGGTCAGAGAATATTGAAAAGAGAATTGAAAACATTGAACAAAGAACAGAGAACATTGAACAAAGAACAGAGAACATTGAACAAAGAACTGAGAGCATTGAACAAAGAATAGGGACAACCGATGAAAAAGTGGAGAACATCCAACAAATGATGTTGAAGTATGACGAGAGATTCCAAAAAATTGAAGAAGATAAACAAAGAGACAAGAAGATTGGAGATATTGATAATAGATTAATGGTGGTTGAACAAGATAAAAGTGGCATGTTGAGATGGGAGATGGATAAATCAGAATTCTATCTAAGATTTCAAAACATAGAGGAAGAAAAAGGACAAAACCTAGCTGAGATAATGATAGAAATACTGGCTGAAGCCTTGGAAATAACTCAAGAGAAGATGATGGATAGAATAGATGAGGTTTATCGAGTCTTCACAAGATATGTGATGAGAAATAGCTTACCAAGAGAAGTTCACATTAGATTTACAAAGAAAGCTATTAAGACGCAAATATAGCAAGTGGCAAAAGAGAAAATATTGAAATACAAAGACAAGGAGATTATGGTCTTGAAACAAATACCCAGAAGAGTGAGAGAGATGAGAAGAGAATACCGATTCCTGACTAAAATGCTACTCAAAAAAGAGGTGAACTATAGATGGCTGATCCCAGAAGATTTAATGTTCACATGGCAAGAACAGAGACATAGAATTGACTCAATTGAGAAAGCGGAATTATTTTATACAGAATTTTTTGGAAG